TGCGGCGGCCACTTAAGACAGCGACGACGACGAGCGGCGACGACGACCTCACATACATATCTTGGGCCGGTCGACCCCGGGGCCCCGCGGGCAGTTCGCCCTCCGCGCGCGATGACGACGAAGACGACGACGCCAAGAAGTTCAGACGCAGCGACTGCGACGCCCCCGAGCCCGAGGCATCACCACGCCAAGCACAAACGTTCACGAAGTTCGAATCCCGACGACGACGACGACGACGACGACGTCGACGAAAGCGACGCTCACGAGCACGAGCACGAGCACGACTGGGGCGACGGCGGCGGCGACGACGGCGACGACAAGTGTGGCAGCTACGGCGCTGACGACGACGACGACGACGGCGTCGGCGACGGCGGCGACGACGACGCCGACATCGCGACGACGACCATGAGCACGACAGGGGCGCCGACTGCGGCGGCAACAACGGCGACGACAACCGCGGCAGCGACGACGAAGACGACGGGCCATGACCATCGTTGTCATCATGTATATGCTCATCCACGTGCTTTCTCCTCCCTCCACCTCCTCCCTCCACTTCGCATTGCACCGACTCGCGGCCCCGCATCCAAGCCCCCGCGACCCGCCCCAAATCCCGCTGGCACCGCGCCCCTATGCAGCATCTCTGACCACCGCCCCCACCCAATTGAATGATTCGGCCACGGGGATGCATATCATGTGTTGCGGCGTGGTGATGCGGTTCAAGGGTGGGGGTTGGTGGGTCGTCATGTGGGGCGGCGGCGTTTCTTTGCGGTTCTGGAGGTTACAATGCCGAGGGCAGCGCCTCCGAGGTGGCGCGGCGGCTCGGCCGCCGCGCGGGCTGCAGCCGTCGCCATCGCCGCCCCCTCTCCGCAGCGCACGGGCATGCTTGAGGAGAGGCGGCCATCGTGCATTGCAAAGAGATCGGCGGGGCGATCGCAGCGAGGGCACTCGGAGCACCACGGGGGCCAACAGCGCTCTCGAAAGACAAATGCAACGCCAGCTGTGGACACACCAAAGGTTACCGAAGGTAATCCAGAGATACAGGGTGCGTATACTCCTCCAGTTTCCGGCATTCTACTCCAATTTACGCCATTCTGACGGTTGTTTTACGCCATCGGATTCTCGCTCAACAGCAAAAAAAACGCAAACATAAGCTTTCATGGCAGCAACAGCGCATCACACTCCTCGGACAGGAAAGGGGAGGGGGGGAAGGAGGGGGAGGAGGAGGAGGAGGGGGAAGAGGGGGGGGGAGGGGGAGGAGGAGGGGGAAGAGGGGGGATGAGGAGGAGGAGGGGGGGGAGGAGGGAGGGGGGGGAGGAGGACGACGATCAAGATGCGAAAGCATGCATGTCAGTGCTGCATGGCCTGTCCCCCCAGGCAGCATGCGGGGCGACCTCGAGTCGCCATTGTTGACCGAGGCATGCAGCTGCCGGGTCGGGGCGGAAATTCAGCACGGGGGATGTTGAGGTGAGGTTGCTGGATATTGGGATGAGGAGAGGGGAGCTGAACGCGTGACGGCGAGAGGGCGTTGCCGCAGGAGTGTCGGCCCCCTGCCCCTGCCTCCAACGCCCACCCCCACCCCCCCACCCCCCCTCCTATTTCACCCCCTCGACAGCGCGTCTGCCGCGCGCTGGGCGCGTTCAAAAGTTCAACAGAAAACGAAACACTGGCGCCAACTCTGCATCGTCCCAGCTATCGCCGTCAGCCCAATCCTTGTCTGAGAGGGTAGCTTTCTCGGCAAGCGCAGACACTGCGGAGGCCCATTTCTGCATCGTCTCAGCGCGTAGTTCGAAAAGGGACTGAACGTTCCGCCCAAACCGCTCTGGGCAAGCTTGGCTCTTCTTCAAAACTTTACCCCCGCTCCACTTTCGGGCGCCGTCGGCGGTCCACTCAGTATACGTTTGGAAAGAAGGGTCTGGCACAAACGGCTCAGCGAACCTGTTGATCTCAATAAACCATGGGAACGGGGAGTAGAACCACCGCCCCTTCCTGGGAGCCCTCAGGTTTGGCCTGTTGCCCTCCATCCTTTCCGGGGGCCCGGGAGGGGGGGGGCGGGGGCGCCCCCCGGCAGGGGCCAAGAGCCTCCGACAGGCACATGCAACCCGCCCGCCACCCCGCCCACCGACCACCCATCTCACTCATAGCCCACGTGGCCACATAAGCTATAGGGAGTGACGTCCAAGGTGGTGGGACAATGGTGTCAGGCGGGAACCTGGCGACAGCCGAGGGATCCAAGTGTCCTTCTTGGTGGGCGCGCCATGCGCGCCCATGCACAGGGAATGCTTCCACGTGCGCATCGTGCGCATAAAATGACGGAGCCGCGGGTGGCATTCCATGAGCGACCCTTTCGGCTGTTCCAGGAACCACGGACAGCCGAACGCTGTGAAAACGTAAAGCAGCAGCACGACGCGAGCCACAATGACGTTGGCCTCCCTCACGTAGGTAAGGGACTCGTCGCCAAGTGGGTTACTATGACTACGCTTGCTAGTAGCCAAGTTGACTGGAACCCAGCTGCTGCAAACTGGTGCGAAAGGTGAGATGCCGCTGGCTGCTTTGCAGCTCAGGGCAACCAGGGGGGCAATAGCGAAACCCTGTGGGCTCAAGATATTGAAGTATTCACTGTTGTGCAAGAGCCGCCAGCAACTAAGCATCCGTTGCCCAGAGCGTGCGATGGCGAATTGGACAGGGAGCGGGCGGGGGGGGGAGGAGGCGACGAGAGGGTATTATAGGAGTAATAGTTCAGAGGTTCAGTCACCCGTCTACTACTGTTCCACTATCCCGTCCATGCATCGGCATAGCCTGTTATATCTCATACGGGAAAGCTCGCTTACCTCTGATCCATGCTGCGCGCGTGCACGAGTGTTTGCCTGCCATGTACTCGACTTGGTCGGATCGCGGCTCACCGACGGCCACTTTCGTAAGGAACAGCAGGCAGAGCCGAACCAGCACTTTGGGCGCACCGATGGACTTCAGAGCTTTGGCCGCGCCCCATTTACGACGTTCTTGTTCTCCAGCGCAAGGTTTCATCATCGTCGGGTCGAGGATTTTCTGCTGCGATCTCTCGAACGCACGACGGCGAGTTTTCTGTTTCAGCGAATGGCGGCGAACCATGGCCGAGACACTTCAAAGGGCGGGCCAGGGGGAGCTGCCGGCCAGCCAAAGGTGCTTGAGCCCGCAGGGCCATGGAGCGCAGAGGGAGCTCGTCAATGCATTTCGCTCCTCCGCATCCAGCCCCCCCTTCCACGGGCCCCTCAGTCAATCCCGACCTTCCACAAGCCCCCATTCCTCGCGCCTTGGGGTCCGCCTCATCCGTCTCATCCTCCTCCTCCTCCTCGTCCGTGCCCCTGCTCCTCCACCAACTGGCCTTCTCTCTCCTCCTTGCCCCATCCCCTTCCCTCCCCCCTCCGCCCCCCCGCCCCCCCCCCCCCCCCCCTCCTGTGACCCCTTCCCCATGCTCATATTTCAGGGCCCATGATAAGCGCATGGGCTGCCCAGTCCCAAGGTCCCATGAGGCGGAGGCCCGCCATGAATGCCAAGAATGCAAAACCATGAATACCAAGAATGCAAACCACGAAACCATGAATACCAAGAATGTAAACCATGAGTACCAAGAATGGAGACCATGAATACCTTGAGTGCCCTGAGGGCACACCAAGAAAAACATTACATAATGGCATGGGAACCAAGACAGGGAAGGAGGGGAGGGGGCTTTTCGAACCCCTCCCCCGAATCACAGAATCACGCCAGACGCAATAGATTTCCACAGTTTGGGAGCGTCCTGGAACCTCCTGGAGCCCCCATGGGGCCCCTTGGGACCCCATGGCATCTTGGGACCTCGGGAGTCTCCTGGGGCCTCCTGGGATCTCCTGGGATCTCATCCCCACCTCCTCATCCTCATCCTCACCTCGTGCTCATCTTCATCCTCGCCCTCATCCGCATCCTCATCCCCATCCTCACCCTCCCCACTCCCTCATCATCCTCATCCTCGCCTCCCCCTCTTGATCCCCATCGCTATTCCCCCCCGTCCTCATCATCGCCCCCCCTCCACATCCTCATTCCCCAAGCACCCAACTCCAAACGCACCGCACTCTTCGAATCAGCGCGGTCTCGCCCGAACCTCGCCCCCCGACGGGCCATGGGGCTGGCCCAAACTTCGGCCCTGCGGCCGCGGGCTAGGGAGGGCAACGGGCGCGCGGCAACTCGGGGGTCGGCGGCCTGGCGCGATCCCTTCAGAGAATAGAGGGAGCAACCGAAGTGGAAGGGGGGAGAGGGGGTGGGAGGAGGAGACCAGCGACATGATAAAACTTAAGACTTAGGATCTGCTCACAGCATCGGCCCCGGGACCCCTCCCGGGGTTCAAATGCATCAGTTTCCCAAGCTGCGCCCGGCCGCGGCGTCGAGGGGGACCCCCGAAGGCCAACTGCCAACTACAAAACAAGTTGATGTTTTCGATAGTGTTTTCCAAACGTCTCCCCGCGCTGGCTATCAGGCTATCACTGGTGATAGGCTATCACACATCCCAAGGCCCAAGGCAGCGCCTCGGCTGAAAAGCTGCGCCGCCCCCGAGCGGTGGCGAGGACAGGGGCGGCGGCAGCTGGCGAGCGGATCCTCTTCTTCCTCCTCCTCCTCCTTGCCCCCCCTCCTCGCCGTCGCACCCCTCCTCCTCGTCACCCCCCTCCCCCTCCTCATCGCCCCGCCCCCTCCTCCTCCTCCTCGTCCTCCTCCTCCTCGAACTCGCACTTGTCGTCGCTATCCTGCCATCCTCCTCCACCTCATCCTTTTCCTCCTCATCCTGATCCTCCCTCATCCTGCTCCTCCTCCTCCTCCTCCCCCTCCTCCTCCTCCTCCTCCTCCTCCTCCTCCTCCTCCCCCTCTCCATGTACCACCTCTCCTACGACCTCCTCATCGCCCCGCTCGCGCTCCCGCCACGGCGCGCGCAGCTGGCCCTGCCGCCCGCCGACAGGCGCGCACGCCGAGGCAAGCACGGGGGGCGGCTGGCCCACCTACGCAGCCTCCGGCTTCTTGCCGGCGTTCGCCATCTCGGCCACGAGCGCGACCAGGTAGCCCGGCAACCTCACGCCCGTGCGCCTGAGGTTATCGTTGATCTCGCCGGCCTTCGCGATGAGCTCCTCGTTGCTCGACGTCGGGCTGCTGAGGATCAGGTCCAGCGACCAGTCGAGCAGGATGCATAGCTTGCCATGGGCGCGAACCTTGGCCCCCTCGGTATACGCCTGCTTCAATGTCTTACTCACTTTGAACCCATCGGACTCCGCCTTCTTTAAGGAAGTGAGGTACTGCTGAATCTGGTTCACCCAGGGATTGAGGGATTCGCGATCAGGGTTCTTGAACAACTCGTCCTGGAGCGTCGGGTTGCTCAACATCTCAGGGTTCTCCAAGGTCAAGGCGCTCGGCATAGAGCTCTTGAGCTTCGCGGCGAACTCAGAGATGATCGTCGCCATGCCGTCGCTGGCCTTCGAGAGGACTCCGCTGGCCCAACCGAGCATGCCCCTGCCGTCTTCGATCTTCGGCTTGAACCCTGGCCCCTCTAAAAGTGCCCATTTGTCAACCGCGACATTCTGCAAGAACTCTCTCATGGCAGCGACCTCCTGCCCGATCTCGATGCGGTGGCTGAAATCGCCCGGCCACTCGGCGCCCGCGAGAGGCAACTGGGCGCACTTCCTCGCCAGGGAAATATACCGTCGCAAATACTCGCCGCGAAGCACCTCCACCTCGCCCATGACAGATAGCTGAGAGAGCTCGCCCAAATCCGCCTGCACGTCAAGGGACCGCACCTGGTCGCGGAGGGGGCATTCCGAAGCGACGAGCGCATCGACGCCTTGCTCCACCAGGGAGCGGCAGATGACGAAGCCCTGAGAGACGCGCTCCGCGGCCGCCGACACCGTGCCGCGAAGGGTCTCGGACAGCCCCGCGAAGGCATTGTCGAAGTGTTCCTGGCGCGATCACCCCGCTGCCCCCCCTTCCCCCCATCTCCTTCCAAGTGTTTGCTCTACTCCATCCCTCCCCTCTTCCTCCTCATCAGTCCTTACCCTCCTCTCCCTCCCCTCCTTCCCCGCCCCTCCTACCCCTCCTCGCCCTCCATTTCCCCTGCCTCCTCCTCCTCCTCCTCCTCCTCCTCCTCCTCCTCCTTCTCTGCGCCCTCTTCGCCCCCGCCCTCCCCCCCTCCTCCTCCCTTCCGCTGCGCGTCGCAGCCCCGCAGTCCTGCACCGACTTGAGATTGGCGTTCACGCGTCCCCACGCGAGCAGCATGGTGCGATTGGCGTCAACGTCTGGAAGTAAGCTGTGCCGCTCGAGCCACTGCTTCACCGGCGCCCACTTGGCAACCCCGAGCACGTTGGCGACCTCGCTCGGGTCGAGGCTTGACATGCTGCCTACGCCCTTGACGAGGGTAGAGTGGTTGTCGAACCAGGCCTTGGCGAAACTGACAACCTCCATATCCTGCTTCAGATGATCGCCAGCACCCCGCCGGAGGCTGCAAGCTTCGGAGAACTGGATCGCCAGAGCACCGAAGTCCTGCACGGGCTTGGCGCCGTCGGTCCCCCAAGTGGCATGATCGCCGTACGCGGATGCCCAACCGCTCAAGACGCACCCGGCCATGGCCGCCAATGAGTTATCCAAGTCTTTGCCAAAGTTGACATTCACGCCCTGGTCATCGCCGTCTCCGCCCAAGTTGCTGTCGGCCCACGTCGCAGCCTCGGTGACAATGTCGAAGGACAAGGACAGGTCGGGGGACGCGCAGACCTTGCGCAACGCCGTCGACAGCCGATCGAGCTCTGCCGTCTTGTTCAACTGAGCCTTCGCCGCGGCGATCTTCCCCTTGATATGGTCGGTGACGTGCCCTCCGGTCGTTCTGTGCCTCGAGAGCAAGCCGACGAAGTGGTCTCTCGGGAGCTGCCCCTCGGTCAACTGGGTGAGCACTTGCTCCAGCTGGCCAATGACGTCAAGTACGGGGGGGACCTCAGCGGCCAACAAGTTGGAGAAGATCTGCAATTCGCCAAGGATCGACGGCGTACTGGAATCCGCGTTCTTCGGCAGGAGGAAAGGCCCTATCCGATCGCGGAGACCAGTCACAACTGCCTCCTTACCGATGCCCGTCTTCTGCAGCAGAGCAGTAATGAGGTCCGACACCTGCGCCCGCTGGAAGTCCCCCGCCAGGGACGCGTTCCCGATGAGGCCCCTCTGAACGAGAATGTTCTTGTCGAGCTCGGCGACCAGGAGGTTCGGGTCGATGGACGAGTTGAGCGCGTCGTAGTGGCATTCCCAGAAATACTTGCAATTCAGCTGCACGTCCGGCTTATCATGCAAGAACTGGACGAGCTCCCGCATGCTGCCCAACCACTCGTTGACGGCCGCGTCGCCAGTACCCGACTTAAGCGCGGCGTGCATCTTCATGCAGGTCTCCATCATGGACATGGTGTCCTTGACCTTGGTGGCGTTCTTCTTCGCACTCTCGGTCGCGGCTGCTTTCTCGGCGTCTTCTGCCTTCCCAATGTAGCGGCGGGTGCACCTGATCTTGACCTGCCACTTCTTGTCCTGGAAGAACAACGACGACCCGTCTGCCTTCGCGAACTCCTTGGTCTCCCGCTCGTAGATCTCGTCGATCGGCTCCGAGACTCTGCCGGCCTTGCCAGAACCATCGCCCCGCTTGGACGAGCCCGCGCCGACTGACTTCTTCCCACTGCCGGGCGTGGACGCGGCGGTCGCCTTCCTCGAGCTGTTGCCGCCGCCCTTTTTTCCTCGCCTGGCGGCGCAAAGCAATGGCATGCGGAAAAGGATGGGGGGGTAAGCGGTGTCGAAGTTCGTCGCACTCGCTGACCCCAGGGGAGCCCCGGGTCAGCCCTATCCAGCTGTATTCAGCAGGCTGGCTGGAATGAGCTGGAGCTCCCACGGACCCTCTTGGGCCCCACTCGGAGCCGACCAATGCTTTCTGCAAGCCCCGAGAGGCTCCCAGGGAGGGCTCCAGGGGGTGCTCGCGGGGTGCCCCCGGTCAACTCTATTCAGATATATCCGACAAGCTGGCTGGATAAAGCCGCCCTGGGGTCCCCGCTGGGCCCTCTTGAACCAAGCTTTCTGAAAACCCCGAGAAGCCCCTTGGAGGGATGCCGTAGGGGCACCAGGTCAGCTATGTTCAGCCCTACCTCCTATCCAACGTGCTGGTTGGATAAAGCTGACATGGAGGTCTCCAGGGATCCCCTTGAAGCCCTCCTGGGATATCCCCAACCCCGAGACAACCCAGAGAGAGTTTTCAAATAGCTCCCAGGGGGCCTCGGGGGCGCCCCAGGCATCCAGCTGTATCCAACAGACTGGTCGGATGGAGTCGGGACTTGGTCTGAAGCCCCCGAGGGGCCCTTGCTACTGAAATTTGCCTCCAATTTCCTGCCAATCCTGCCCCATCCTCTTCCTCCTCCCCGCCCCCCATCTCCCTCCTCCTCCTCCTCCTCCTCCTCCTCCTCCTCCTCCTCCTCCCACTCTCTCCCTCCCCCTCCTCCTTCTCCTGCTCCTACCCCCCGAGATTGGAGTCCAGCGAGTCGCCCCGTCCCTTTGGTCCTGGCGCCCGCGGCGGCGCCCCGCGCGGGGCTCTGGTCCACCGCTTCAACGAAGCCCCACTTCCTCCTCCTAGGGTTGTCCGAGGCCGCCATGTCCACGTCGGCGTCGCCCGTGGAGGCACCTGGGCGGCAGCCGACGCGCCCGCGCAGACACGATAACACACGCAGACACGCGCGCACACTCACACGCACACACACGCTAACACACACACACACGCACACACACGCACGCCCGCCCACACACGCACATGCAACGACGCGAGCACGCACGCATACACGAGCATACACACGCGCCCGAAGACACGCACACACACAGACGAACGCAAGAGCGCGCACACACACGCACTCACACATTCAGAGCCACCCACGCATACACGCAAACGCACACACAATACACAAACGCACCCACACTACCAACTGAAATTCGCAGTCAAAGAGCCCTGCCAGGCCTCCCACTTCCCTGAGGCAGCCAAGATGTTCGCTGCATTGCGTATGCCCTCATGCCCCCCCTCTTTCCGAAACTCCCCCCTCCTCTTCCTTCTTCCTCATATCTGCATCATCCTCCTCCCCGCCCTCGGCCCCCGCCCCCATCTCAATGGCATAGCATAGCGGGCCACGGCCATGAGCGGGGGGGGGGATGAGGCAAAAAGCAAAGGGTTTCGCCCTCCATTAGAACCTTCGCCACCCTTATTCGCGGTCTTCGTCTCCGCCTGCACGGCCGCGATCATCTCCTGCAAGGACTTGGCCCCCCGGGTCGCCTCCTCCAGCTGCGCCTCTTGCTCGTCGCAGAGCTCGTCAAAGGCTGCGTCCACGACGTCCTCCGAATCGTCCGAATCCTCGGAGTGGATCCTCTCAGTGGCCAGCAAGTTGGTCATGAATTTGGGCTGCAATTTCCACGGCGTGCCTTTCGCCGCTGGCATTATCACGACGTCCTGGCCGTGCAGCTTCACGCGCTTGTGCCCCAACTTCTTCTGCGCAGTCTTGCTGACCTGGGACTCGTACTCCTTCCACGGCAGCACGTCCGGCGCTGGGGGTAGCAATTCTTGCGAGTACCCCCTCTGCCTCTCGAGCTTCTTGGTTGAGCTGCCGCGGCCCTTTCGCTCGGAGTTCCAGGTCCCCTTGGCGAATTTAGCCTGCGCCTTGGTGAGCTTCATCTTCCTCTTCCCGTGGAACTGGTCGCGGTTGTCCTTGCTCTCGTTCATCCAATTGACGACTTCCTCCCTGGTGCCCTTCGCCTTGAAGTCATAGCGGTAGGTGTTGGCGCAGAACATATCGGCCGTTCCCGAGCCGTCAGGGTACTCCCACTCGATGAATCTGCTCGGATCGACGCTGCTCCGCGTGATGCCATACTGGCTGCCGCACAGGAAAATGCACTTCTTGCCGATGGGCCCACCCTCAGGTGTGCATGGAGGGCAGACCGAGAGCTTTTGTTTCTCTGCCTCAAGGGCAGCCTGTTTCTCAGCCTCCCTTGCAGCCTTGTCCCCCAGCCTGATGCGCATGCCGGCGAGGCTCGTGGGGGCGGACCCCCTGGGTCCACGCCCCGACGCGGACCTCCCCGACGTGGAGGCCGGCATGGCCGCCCTCGCGCCCCGGCAACGGGCCGCGAGCTGGCCTGCAATAGGAATAGAGGTGTCCAGCCAATACACTGTAGAGCTGATGGGGTCGGAGTGTAGGAGCTGGTAGGAGCTGGCAAAGATCTCATGGCATCAATGCACCGCAATGCACGACAATGCGCAGCAACAAAAACCAACAATCACAACAATCAACAAGCAGCAACGCAATGCGAGCCCTCATCAAGCAACGGTATCTTATGATATTCAAAATGCGGCTCTCGCCTTAGCACCGTGAACATTCCCCTTAACACTTGACGCCTTGGAGGTTATACGCGGACGGAGGTGGTTCCTCTTCAACATGGGACTCTGGGTTAAGACCTCCTCAGTTTTATGGCCTGGAGTTCGAACTTGTGAAACAGTCGCGCGGATGAATGGCGGTCCCCCATGGGCATAATAGGGGGCCCTCAACAATCCAGCGAAATGGAGCTCTTAGTCTGATGGCAAAGATGCACATGTCAAGTCAGAAGGTGTTGGAGCTGGTAAGGGGTAGGGGGCTGGTCATGAGCGCGGCATATAGAAGGCCCTCAACATGCTTCGGGCGGGTCTGACCATGAACGCTCCCAGAGAGTCAGCCAAGTCACCCAAGGTACCCGAGGCACTCCGAGGCTTCCCTTGTGCCCAACGGGGCTCTCCCGACGCGTGGTCCACGGCGTTTCTCAAAGCGCCTTCCCTGATTTAAGCAGGCGCGTCGCATGCATATGTGCCGGGAGGGTGCATCGCAGCATCAACGGCGCTCCAGTCGACCGAGGGGGATGCACCTCAGATGACGTTTCTCACCAATCAGCCGATCATAGCCTCCAGTTCCTCGTCAGTTAGCGTCGCGTGCGGAATCAGGGCAGGAGGCGGCCGCGGCGGCATAGCCAGCTCACCGAGCCATCCTATAGTCAGTGCCCCAAGCGGCTCAGAACGCTCAATCACCACGAGACTGTTGGGTTTCCAACATACCTCAATAGTCAATAGACGGGGAAGGAGGGGGTGGATGATGGGGCGATGGAGGGGCGAGAGGGAGGGGGTGGAAGGTCCCCGGCAGTCGGAGGAGGGATTGGGAATGAAGCGGAGTGGGAGGAGGAAAGGACGCCAACCTTGCGCAGGTGTTGTGCGATAACGACATCCAGGCGCATGTTGCGGAGCTTCTTACAAGTGTTTCCGAGCATCCGCACGCCGAGGGCAACCAAGTTGGCGTCCTCTGAGCCCCGACAACTCGCCTCGACCGCCCCTATACCCCCTGACCCCCTGCTACTAACGCTCCCTGGGCCCAGGACCTGGGACTTTCCCCCCGCCCACGAGGGGCCTTCTTCCACATGCCGCGCCGCCACTTGTCTCGAGGGCCCAAAGGCCGCCTTTGGGCGTCGTCCTGCAGCCACGCGGGCCATATTTCATCATCTCCTAAATCCCATGGAGTTGCCCGCGGATGTGGGGGCGGGGGAGTGGCCATCCTAGCCGAGCGCAACCCCGCCGCTGGGCCAGAACGGCTGACGAAGGGCTCGGCTGACGAGAAATCTGAAGGGGGATCAGAAGTTCAAGCAGGTCCCGAGTGAGGCCCCTTCACTCCACGAGCATTGTTTCATTGTTCCTGGCAACACTTCGGAAACCCCCGGGTCCTCAGGGTGACTCTGGCGGCCTCATATCCTCCCTCATTCCCCTGCTGGACTCGCTCCCCATGCAATTCCCCGTCACCCCCTCCCCCTCCTCTTCCCCCTCCGCTTCACCCCCCTCCTGCTGCTGCTCCTCCTCCTCCCAACGCCCACCTCCCCCTCGACCCTCGCGAAATGCGTCGCCGCCCTCTACGTAGATACCCCTCGAGGGCCACCCGAAACTCAAAGGCATCCGACCCCTCGAGGGCCACCCGAAACTCATTTTCACGGACGGCCCCTCGCTATCTGTCTTCGTGTTTTCGCTCATAACCAGGCGGAGAGATCCCCGCAAAACCCAGATCAGCCTGAATTCACTGAAGGGCGCGTCAAGCCTCACAAAAATGTACACCTTGCTGCTCGGGACGAAGGGCGACCTGGGGCCTCAAGCGTCGCTGAGCTCCATCAAGCTGGACGATGACTCGTCCCCCTCGCCGAGGGCGCTCTCGCCCTCGCTGTCCCCGAGGGCGCTCCCGCCCATGTCGTCGTCGCTGGCGTTCGCGTTCTGAAACTCCCCGGTGAAGTCCGCGCACCCGAGCCCGAGGTCACTGAGGTCCACCGTGTCCCGCATATAGACGAACATTGCAAGTAGGAGGACAGCCAGCACAAAACCAGACATGGCATTTCCAGCCAGCGTCAGCAATTCAGGATTAGTGAACATCGCGTCCTCGTTCTTCAGGTCGAGGATCTGGTACCCCTGGAGCCCCAGCGCCTCGGCGCCCGTCACGTCGCGGCGGCGAGTGACGAGCCACGGCCGGGAGGTGCATACAATGCAAGGGACCTCCTGGCGGTTGACCTGCCAGTCCAACTTCATGTTCAAATCAACCACTCGCTCGGTCACCGTGCCCTCCTGGTCTGTCTGGACCTTCTGCCCCTGCTGGACGTCCTTTCCCTTCTTGGCCTGCTCCTCCTCCAACTGCCGGGCAGCCTTGACCGTGTGGTACAGCACGGCCTCCTGATTGCGCCGCGGCAGG